CAATAACTTTCTTTCTTTGGAAGACTCCTACATTTTTTATATCAAGATGGAGTAGTAGGTAGGAAGCCAAAAACTGTCTGTACCAAAAATTATTCGCTTCCAAAAATATAATATATACCAATATGGCGTCTTCTGATGACGAGCTTGAAGAAGTCATCCAACAAAAATATGAAATTTTCGGTGACAAGACACATAAATGCTGCCAAACAGAGCCAAGTAAATCCTCAATTTGCGTTGTTTGTGGAAATGTATTCCATTTTTCACGTGGGATTAAAAACAAATTTAAGTGCTACAAAATATGTGACTCCAGAATACAGTGCTGTGAGCTAGATAAAAACAATACCCAGTAAGTGACGCAAAAAAGGACAAACTCAACAAATGTGAAAACCTGGAACTGGAAAACCATATATCAAGAGCTGAAAGAGAAATAAGATGAGTACAATTTATTATTGGGGAATAAGAATCTATTGAAAAAAAATGCACACTTCATAGAAGAAAAACTCAAGGATAATAAAAACACAACAAATACGCCACCAACGAAAAATTAACCGAACAAAACAAAATCCAGTCAAATTGTACTCATACACCTGCAAGTTTTTTACCCGGTAAGGAATCCCCATCGGTACAAGCAATTGTAAACAAAAAAGATTTACCACAAAAACCTGAACTAACAGGAATGCCTAGTAAGATCGAAGTAGGAGTGACATGAAATTCGTAATTTATGAATGAATTGTGCCTTTTTTCTCATAATGTTACCTAGGTTGGTACTGACTGGTAACCTGTCAACTTGACTTGTCAGTTTCAGTTGACACGTCAAGAAGAGTACTTCGACCACGCTACTGAAGATAACTGACCCACTTGTAGTTGAAACGTTTGGAGATTGTAACCAAAGAAGACCACGGAAAAACCCGGAAACCAATCAAAACATTGACGCCAGCCGTGAAAGCCTACATTTCTATGCCCCTTTCCATTTGAAACAATAAGGATGAAAACCGCGCTTGCTGATGTATTGAGGTTACAAGTACGAGTATTATTTTAATTTCCACATTCGAAATAGTAAACCTTGCTGGACTGTTTTTGATAGGCCACCTTGCATATACACAATCGCTTCATTGTTCTTTCTCTGTAGAATATTAATATATTATTTGATGGAACTGTTGTAAAGTTGTGTAAAAATAACGAATGTTATTCAATTGAGCATTCATTTTCGAAGAAATGCCTGTTACATATAATGAAGGTTGATAGTAACAGTATTTTGTAAAATACAAATTTTACACAGTTTTAAAAATTACATTCTGTATTAACCACTTTTAGAAGAAAAATTTCATTCATTCTCGAATTCGATGATACTACGACACTAGTATTTCAAAAAATTGGGTTGAGTGTTTTCAGATAGATTTCAAGTGATCTGCATGGTCGGTTTTGCACAACAAGTGAAAACTCCTGGAATGAGTGAGGTTTCCACCGAAATAAAAGATTGCATTGATTGATTGATGTTTCATCAATTCCAATTAACAATATCAGAAACGGGTAAGCAATTATCATATGCAAAAATGTATAGCCAAACAAGTTTCTGACTTGTGATGTTCTGTTAAGCTGTTTTATGTTGTCCCTGAATATATATTGTACTGAATTGTTCCATGTCAAATAATCATCCTCATTGAGAAAATTCTCAATAAAAACAATATTCACAAGAAACCTGATATCCTGAAATACCAGTTTGATTCTATAAAATTGATTATTTTTCGGAGTGAAATCAGAATGATGATTATTCATATAGCTGAAACATTAATCAAGGTTACAATTGAGTTACCACTAATACTCCTTTTGTATAGTGACTAACTAGACCTTTTCAATAACTCATTCCATATACTCCTAAATATATTTCCGGCAGCCTGTTTTTCTATCCTAGTAAGTTGCAAATAATACAGGGTGTAACTGAATAAGTATAAAACATTTAAGAAGGTGATTCCTCATCGAAAAAAAGATAGGATCTTTCATATAAAGAAACTTCATTGGAGCATCTCTTGTTAAGATACAGCCCCTTGAAGGGGGTACATAAAATTTGTATAACAATTGTTTTCACAAGCACTGAAAAAGTTACAATATTGCAATTAACCTGACGTTTTGTGCTAACGAAAAGACACTTAGCCAGAAATTTATTTGGTTTACCACATGGTTGTAAGGGTTGGAAAACGCAACCCCTAAAATTTATTTCCAATGTAACTTTTTGTCTTATTATTTGTTTACAATTTGAAAATTTCTTTTCGGTAACCTGTATCATTCTAAACAAAAAATGTCTCTTGGGTTTTTTGCCCAAAATAAACCAGTTCGCAGCAAAAATTATTTTACGAACAACTACAAAGATACATCGTCATAAATGCGAATTGGATTTATTGTTATTTTCTAGTTAGTACCTGCATTAAACGATTGGAAGATAATAAACAAAACTGATTTATTAATAACAAAACACACAACATATAGAAATCATAGTAAATGTTCAATATGTCTACCTTCAGACATTACGCATGCGTCTAGACGTCGGCGCATTGAGCCACGTGTTCGCTCAAATATTCCTGGAGTCTCTGTGATCACCCTGCACGCATCGATGATGCTGTTTTTCAAGACCTCTACATCGCGAACAGGAGTACGATAAACCAAATACTCTAAATGGTCTCAAATAGAGAAATCGAGAGGTTTGAGATCCGGGGATCGAGCGGGCCAATTCTGTGGTCCTCCTCGACCTATCCACTGATTTGCATATGTTTCAGTTAAATGCTGACGTGCTACTTGACTAAAATGGGCGGGAGCTCCATCATGCATAAAAAACATATTCCTTCTGACGCCCAAAGGAACTTCCTCCAGCAGTACTGGATTGACTTCTCTTTAAAATTGAACGTATGCCTCACCATTTAATCGAGGAGGTAGAAATGAGGCCCAATTAAATCATCCCCAATAACTCCGAGCCACACGTTGAGAGAAAAGAGAAAACTGTTGTTGATGGTTAGTTCCGACAATAGCGTGAGGGTTTTCATCAGCCCGTATATGGTAATTATGAAAATTAATAATCTTGTCCCGAGAAAAACTACATTCGTCTGTGCATTATATCGTCTTCAGAAAGTCACAATTTCTTCTAATCATTTCCAGCATCCAATTGCAAAATTCAAGACGGTTCGGAAAGTCTCGCGGTAACAGTGCCTGTACTCGTTGCAGAAGGTAAGGGTATAAAAGTTGTTCCTTTAAAATTCGAAATACCGTCATATGATCAACATTTAGCTGGCAAGAAATCTTTCTAGTGCTGGTAGTAGGTTGTTCTTCAATCAAATTAAGTACTTCTTCCTCAAGCTGTGGTGTTCGTACTTCTCAATGGCGACCACAATCCTTTCTTTTGTTGAATGAACCATATTCTCGTAATCGTTGATGAAGTCGAGCAAATATTCTATGTGAAAGATGCTGTCGTTGAGGAAACATTTCAGCATATCTTCTAGAAGCTTCTAACCCATAGCCCTGCGACAGACCGAAAACGTAATGCATATCAGCCATTTCCTCATTTGTGTATGCCATTTTAATAATAACTGAATTAATAAAGTAACAAATTAAGAACAGAACAACAACACACAATTAGTATTAATTCAATTTCGAAAATTCACAAACTGACAGCGTCATACCGATTCATTTGTCACTATCGCTAATTGCGACCTACTAGACAGATTAGTTTCGTATTTTCGCATTTATGACGATATATCTCTGTAGTTGTTCGTAAAATAATTTTTTGCTGGGAACTGGTTTATTTTGGGCAAAAAACCCAAGAGACATTTTTTTGTTTAGAATGAAACAGGCTATCGTAAATAAATTTTTAAATGGTGAACAAATAATAAGACAAAAAGTCACATTGGAAATTAATTTTAGGGATTGCGTTTTCCACCCCTTACAACAATTGGGTGAACCAAATAAATGTTTAACTAAGTGTCTTTTTGGTAGTACAAAACGTCAGGTTGATTCCAATATTGTAACTTTTTCAGTGCTTGTGAAAAAAATTATTATACAAATTTCATGTACCCCCTTTAAGGGGGGTACATGAAAGATCCTATCTTTTTTTCGATGAGGAATCACCTCCTTGAATGTTTTTCACTCATTCAGTTACACCCTGTATAAATCTGTTTTGAAAATACTCAAAAAACAAATTTAATTTTTGGGAGAAAATATACCTTTTCAATTAATTTCATTTTGATTCTCTACCTTGATTTGATTTCTGGAAAGGGAATTCACCGATTCACAGTACTGCATCTACATTGTTGAGCAAAATTAAAAAAATTATATGAAATAAAAACATTTCAGAACACTCTGACGAAAACTTCAGCTAAATTATTCATGTAAGTATCTACTTTCACCTCTCTTCCATTTTCATTTTAGGTTTACGCAGAAATATCAGGCATATACTTAATTGAATACGTAATGGGTAGTGTTTTTAATATCCCTTCAATATTTCCATACAGTAACAAAAAGATATACTATGGCGGAGAGGGGTGAAATAATAAGTTGAAGTACAGTTCAGCCCACTTTTACATGCCTGTACACCGAAAATGTGACACTTCAATACGTTTTACATGTGAACGGAAAAAGGTTTCTTGATGTTAAAATCGAAGGTATGTTTGAATCCCTGGTAGGCATTGAAAACAAAGAGTGTTTTTTGTTTGGCTCTCAACATTTGAGCCTTAACATATTTTCTCTTATCATGAACGTCATTTTTTACCTATCAACTTCTTGTATTCAATCTAGTATTCGATTGTTCACCTGTAGTATATCAACAAGATTACAGTATTATGTTCATTGATTGAGTTGCTGGAATTTAGCTGAAGTTTTCTGTTACAAAACAATTAAACCATCATCAATGGTTGAACTGACTACAGAATGTGGAGAAAAACATCATAAAATCATGGGAGCAACAACCTCAGTTATCAATGACCCTCACAAGGAAAATATGTAACATCTTTCTCTACCTTTTTCGCTATCTCTTTCATCGCTACCGTATTCTGGGGTAGACTTCAGATCTTCTTCTGAGCTTGAATAAGAATGGATGTGCACTTGGGGTGGCGGGTGTTGCTTTTTCGTAGAACCGCTTCGTTTGTGTTTTTTATTGGCACTTGCTGCGGACTGAACTCTCTGTTGAGAAACGTCCATTGGAAGAGGCTCCGGTTCTGGGTCTGGATATCTGTAAAAAAAATTGGGATTGGTATAAGCAAAATTTACCGGAATAGTTTAGGACTTTCTGTATGAAACTATCTTTCAAAAATCGATGAAAATGGGGTGAAATGTGATTTTTCACTGGTAACTCTGGATAATTTTCAAAATACATACTAAGTATTGAGCGATTGCGAATCAGTATTTCAAACAATAAAAGTCTTCTACGTTAACTAACTCTCTTATGTTACAAAATATTATTCAGTTCCAACGAAGATCGAGTTGAAAATATAAGAAACAGAGTTGAACGTTGGTATCAGACAATTTTTGGGATATTTTCGTTCAGTTTTTATTTCTTTCTTGTTGTATGAATCTAGAACGATAAGTCTCCAACAAAAAATTCTGTTTTTTTCAAGGACGAAACACAAGCACTACAGGAAAATCCTTAAGGCGCTCTTAGAGCGGTGCCTGTGCGAAAGTAGCGATTCACATTGGATTTGAATCGCTGAAGATTAAATCCATTTGAAAAAATGTTCTCAGAGAGTTTATTCCACATAAATGCCGTTCTCCAAATGAAGAAGTTCTTAAACAATGAAGTTCGAGGTGTACTGAGTTGAACCTCAAAACGATGAGCAGCCACAGTAGGTCGCGTATTTCTAATATGTACCAGTCTTGGTGGAATCACATGTGCCAAAACACTTGAAAACTCCACGTGAATGTATCCATAGAAGAGAGACAAATTTCCAACCTTTCTTCGATGTTCCAGACTATCAAGGTTGCAAGTGATGCTCGCGTCTCCAATCAGGCTCTTTTCTGGATGGAATCCAGCAGCTTCAGGGTACGTTTGGAGGCGGGGCTTCATACATAACAATACTCCAAAAGGTCTGATCTGAGCTTTATCGAACAGCTTGAGCCCACTTCATATTATGTTGATGAGTCCAAACATGCTCTGCTATTCCGTATTTGCTGGTTTCTTCTCGCTGTGTGTGTTTCTTCTGCTCAGCAATGCGAACTTTCAATGGCCTCTTAGTTTCACCGATGTATGATTCTCCGGACTCGCAGGGTAACCGGTAAATGCAATCTTGAAATCGCAGTCCGCGTTTGGTGGCCTGGTTTTGAAGAAGCCAACAAGAAGCCCCGAGTCTGGTTGAGATACGCAGACGACACCTTCATAATATCGAACCATGGGGATGCAGAACTAGACACTTCCCTGAAGCACATCAACAACATAAGTCCATCCCCTTAACAATGGAGAAGTTAGTCTACAACGAATTGCCTTTCTTAGACGTATTGGTGAAGAGGACCGACACTAAATGGGAAACATCTGTATATCGAAAACCCACTCACACAGGACAGTATCTGAACCAGAAATCCAACCACCATAAATCAACTAAGAGAGGAATCATCAAGACTCTACTAGACCGTGCTTTTGGACTCTGTAATAAAAAGGAAGGTCTCGAAAAGGAACTAGGCATCATCAAAAATGACCTACAACGGAATGGTGACTCCAGAGTGATGGTAGAACAGGCCTTAGCTAGAAGAAAGCAAGAACTCCACAAGGAAGAGAAGCCGCCGCAACCTGTACTTGTACTTCCCTACATCATAGGATTATCGGAAAGGATAAGAAGGATTGGGTCCAAGTACAACATCAGGACCTGCTTCAGATCTAGGAGCACTATCCGTAGCAGCCTGACAAAAACCAGGCCGCCAAACGCGCACTGCGATTCCAAAAATTGCATTTACCGGATACCCTGCGAGTGCGGAGAATCATACATCGGTGAAACTAAGAGGCCTTTAGAAAGTTCGCATTGCTGAGCACAAGAAACACACACTGCGAGGAGGAACCAGTAAATCCGGAATAGCAGAGCATGTTTGGACTCATCAACATAACATCAAGTGGGCTCAAGCTGAAATCATCCATAAAGAGGAACACTGGTTCAGGAGAAAATTCAAAGAAGCTGCGTATATTTTGTCCAACAACGCATTTAGTCAAGCTAGCGCAGAGATACGTAACATATGGAAACCTCTAATCAAGCGAAAAACGACCAATTCCAGCCAAACGGCCATCTCCCGCTGAAAAATGAAGCGGAAAGAGTGAAGAGGGGATAGGTGGAAGCACTCGAGCGACCTATAAATAGTCAGATCTCGAAGGAATAAGTCCAGTTATCACCCGAAGACGATTGTGGACACTAACAATCGAAACGTCGTGACATAACTTGGTTTAAAATCTTTTAATTTTTATTTTTCATTTTTTGTTAATAATAATTTTTAATTTTTATTTTTCAGCTTTTATTACTACTTCAATTTTTATTTGTTTTATTGTTGCTTATATGTTATTTTCTTATAATTGACCATTGTTTAATTTTTTTGCTGAAATAGAAAAAAATTATAAAAAACAGCTATACCGGGTGTCCCAGAGCTTTTAGGCCAGCAGATATCTCAGTCACCTGCAGAAAAAAATTGAAAAAAAATATGTATATCATAGAAGACCACTGAAATCAAAGGATGTAACCTTGCCAGGATCACCTTGGGCGACCCTGGGAAGCTGGCGCCGAAGAAATATCTGGCGATGACCAGGAAAAATCTACGCCTCACAGTAGGATTTCTGACTGGCCACTGTCAGCTAAGGAAACACCTACATAATATGGGGCTAGTGGACACACCTCTATGCAGTATGTGTGAACAGGAAGATGAGACTGTCAGGCATGTCCGGAGATATCGTCAATAAGAGAATGTGTGTTCGGCGAGTCTTGGTCTACACCTGCCGATATAAAGGAGATGTCTCCCAGCGACCTGTCCACCTTCCTGGAAAGGACAAGATGGACGATGATCTAGGAGGACAACTCCTCGGGAGGATGTACAATGGGTCACATGTGGTCTAAGTGCGTGGGCTTACGCTCACCCTCCTTACTCTACAGATACAGATACAGATATAGTGAATGAAGCAACACAGTCGAGTAGACATTACAGGTTCTTTTCAGTTTCTTTTTCGTGGAGGATAGACTCGAAAGTATTTAAAAGAAAAGAAGGGTACCCTTATATATTCACCTTGCACTTTGGAGAATTATAAACTCCCACATTTTTAATAATATAATGTAATGTTTATTCATCCAAATAATTTTGCAACAACAAGATCAAGAGACACAAAACATTTGTAGACATTACGTTTTCTCCTACTGAACCTCATAATAATAATAATAATAATAATAATAGTAACCTTTATTAACCATATGTGTATGAAATCTAACAACAAAGTAATAGTAAGGTTAAAAGGAGCCCGATCAATCAAGACTGGTCTTCCTCGGAAACCTGGGATACAAAATAAAAAAAAACACTAAGATTAAAGAATGAAGATTTAAGAAGTCACAAAGATAAGTAGTTATATGATTATCATTGGAAATATAGAGGGGATTTAAGAAAGACATATTAAATAAAATGTATGGTGATTACATAAACTTATATAATCAAACATTGCTCCTCAAAATGTTTTTTCTGTAGCTAAGAGAAGGATTTTTTGAATTGTTTAGTGCGGTGATGGGGTATTGTGATAATTTTGTTTTTGATTTCTATTGCTCTATTGCCAAAGACTTGACGAAAAATATAAAAGCAGCCGATAACCCCTTGAACTATGTGAATATTGAAGTTACGAACACCTTTATATTATATGACACAAACATTACCGAACTGCATGAAACATTATTTTCCATTAAATATAAAAATTCCACAAGTTCGAATGAAATCTCCATAAAAATTTTAGAAAATATTCCTATAAGAATACTCGATATATTAGTTGGTCTAGTAAATGATTCATTTAGAGAAGGAATCTTTTCAGGTTTTTTGAAAAAGTCTATTGTGTTAGCACTGCGAAAGGGAGAAGTCATCAATGGTCCATCAAGTCTTCATTCAATTTCTCTAATCTCTTCAAAATTGGCTAAATTGATAGAAACATTAGTTGAAACAAGACTCTTTTGCTTTCTAAATGAAAACAAAATAATAAGTGATTGCCAGTTTGGTTTCCCAAAGCAAAAAAACACTTTCGATGCCATACTTTCATTTCTTTACAATGTTTATTCCAACATAACTGGCAAAGAAACAGTGACTGCGGTCTTCTGTGACATAGCCAAAGCATTTGATTGCGTGAACTATAAAATTCTTCTACAAATGAGTCGATACAGTATGACTGGAATAAGTCTTAAATGGTTTGAATCATACTTAGTAGATCGCATCCAGATGGTCAAAACCATTTCATACTCAGATGAAGATAAAATTACTTGTGGCGTCCCACAAGGTTTGGTGCTGAGCCCACTTTTTTTCTTAATTTACATTATTGACCCATCATCTATTAACATTCAAGAAAAATTTACTTTTTTTGCTGATGATACCACATTTTTATGGCATGTCCCTAACAACTATGCGTTGTATGAAGTTATTGAGAATGACATCACGAAAGTGAAAGACTTGGTTTTACTCAAATCTTATGAGCTTGAATTTATCAAAAACAACAGTAGGGTCCTATTGTTGTCAGATTCCAGCCGTACATCAAAATAATATTCAAATTGACAACGTACGAACTTCTAAATTCCTTGGCTTGTTCATTGATAATAATTTTAAATTCAAGAAACATGTAGATAGTTCGAAATCCAAGCTCTCCTCTGGATGTTATGCAATACGAGTAACTGCATTTGAGCTCGGATCTGCAGAAGCTAGAATGGTTTATCATTCCCTTTTTGAATCCCATCTTCGTTATGGTATTTGCTTTTGGGGTGCGTGTTCTAACCCATCCTTCAATCAGTATTACTGATACAAAAACGTGCAATACGATGCATATGCAAAACCAAGCCTAGGGACTCTGGTCGGCCTCTTTTTTCCTCTAACAGAGTCCCAACTATGGTCTCCTCATTTATATATGAGACAACCTGCCTTCTCTTTGAAAATAGGAACTTGTTTAACAACTTGGACGAGGCAATGTATCAAACCAGGCACAGATTCAGCTTCAAATTAACGCTGCCTTCTTCGACCCTAGATAAAGATTTCATTATTTATAACGGTCTCAAAATGTTGAATCACCTTCCTCAAGCTATAAGAATCATAAATGATTATAAGCTGCTGGAAAATAATTCCATAAAATCAAAAAATAAATAAACGTCACCAGATGATACTTATTTCTTTTAATATTAATTTTTTTTTAAATTGAAGTTAATGACAAATTTTAATTTTTTTCCAAAAAGCTAATTTATCAAATGCAGTAACTTTTTGCCCTCTCTACATTTGTACTCTGCTTACTATTTAAGTAATGTAATGAGAGGGATGATTTTATGAAAAAGGCAAACTGAATGGCATATTATTCTGTTCATTTCAGGCCGCCCTTCAGTTTTGAGATATTCTTCGCCTTATCAACGAATATTGAGCAAATATTGATCTGGTGCAGTAGTACCGAACTTTTTGCATTTTATTTTCATATTGTGTCATAACATTATGTATGTATTTACATCAGTTCTCTTATTGAACTTTGTAATATGTCATAATCAGGAATGAGAAAACAAGAAAGCTTTTGCAAAACTTGAGCCATACATTATACTCAGACAAGTTCTTTGGAACTTTTTTGAGTATTCTCCTTTGTACTCTGTCATCTGGTAACCCTTAACCTCAATGTATTCATTATAATTGGGAAATAATGGAAATGTATGGTGTGAGCTCACCATGAAAAATGAGAAATGAATTTTTTTTTGTTTTTTACCACTTTTATTTGTCATTAACGTTACTGCAGGACATTTTCAAACAATTACACTCACTTCCCACAACGTGGGGTGAGTGATCATTGGGTTCGACAATTATGTGCTCTGAGCAAGCGCAGTGAGCCAAGAATGACAGCCTTCTGCATCTGTTCGGCTAAGGTATCTGCCTTAGTGCCACAAGCCGATATGATTTTAAGATTCGAGAGTAGAAAGGGCATTATTCCACCAAGGACTCCAATAATCAGAACAACCATCTTGACAGAGTGATCTGGATAGAGTCTGCGGACTCTATCCGATATTTTATCCGTTTTTTCTCTTCTTTTCGGACGATATTCGTCTCGCCAGGAGTTGAAAACTCCACGACAAATATCGTTTTGCTCTGGTGGTCGAGAAGGACTACATCAGGCTTATTAGCTTGTATGAGCCTGAGGGTGGGGAACGAATAGTTTCGATAAATTCGGCACTTCTCGTTTCCCACAACGGATTGAATATCCCCTGGATCGTAGGGAAACACCGGTTCCTCGTCAATACCGCGGTAGACTAAGGTGTTGAAGACACCATCCTGGCAAGCCATGATGAACCCCTCAGTTTCCGACTTCAGCCCACTCGACCTGAGAAAAGCGAAAGTCAGGCGCTTTGATAATCCAAGGTCTTCAATGTTATTGAAGAAGACCACATGCATTGGCTTATCCTTGTGTTTTCGCAGAAGTAAGGTGATCTCGTGGCTTTTATATGAGATTTTTGCTGAACGGGTTCCAACTCGATGACAGAGTTGTGGACACATCGTTCAGTGTTGAGAACTAAACCGAGATCAACAGCTGCTCGGGCAGTTGCCCTGAAGAGAAATGCTCCAATTCCTGCTCTTTCATGGTCACGGTCCATGCAGAGAAGGGGATCCGAACTCCCGATGACTCTAAATGCTATATCTAGTACCATTCTGTCATGAAGGCAGTTCAAACTCGAAGGTCCACGGCCTCCCTGTTGTCGGGGGAAGTACAACCGTGGAACGGACGATTTGGGATGCAAACTCCTATAGAGATGCATCATTTTTCGGGTATTTACGTTGATACAGCTCCTCCCGAGTCCACTTCACTACTCGAAACGAGTAGAGTAAGATTGGAACTGCAAGCATATTTGTTGCAGCAATTTTGTTCTTCCCCGACAGTTCCGATGACCAGATATATCGAAGTTTGTGCTGATACTTGCCGCGGAGGGTGTTCTTCACTGCTGTTACCTCTTGTGAGTGGCGCTGTTCCACCCCGAGGTAAGTATATTATCATTATTATTTTATATTGAATGGTCAAATTAGACCCACAAAGAAAATCTGCTCAATTGTAAGAAAAAATATTACCAATTCGCAATACATTTTATTTGCACTGAATGTTAAAAGCACGTCGCAATTCTGCCGAAATATTTGAAAAAGTTTTGATGTTTTTTCAATTACTTTCAGCTTTTGCCTCTAACCTAGTTCCTCCACCTTTCTTTCATCTGCATGATTATGAATGTATCAAATAGAAAATGAATGGATTATTGCCGATGTGTTGGAAGGAAGCAGATATTACTGAGTGGTTACAAATGAAAGTTATTCCTTTTAAATCGACCATGTTAAAAGCGGAGCTCCTCAACTAAAAACTAAAATTTTTTTTCGAAAGTAAAGTAGAGCAGTACGTACTCATATTTGTAATTTCAGGAACTACTGAAGATTCTATAGAAAAAAACTCACGTTTGTTTTCTAAAATCCAGTTTTTTGTTCTGGTTTCAAATCTGGAATGGCAAGTGATTTTCTTATATCAATATTACCCCTCAATATTTTGTAGACTCAGCTTCGGACATTTCAAACGTTTTTTCAATTTTGATAGCTCCGAAGTTTGGCAGACTAGTTGTATATGAGACAAAGGGTAAATATCGTACATTAACCGTATTTAGTGTGAGTTCGTAACATTTGAACCATTTTAGTATTGAATTCATATTTCGCTCAGCTTTATTTTAAACTGATTCCAGGTTTTTTCCTCATAAATAATGACGGTGTCATCGGCGAAAATAATTATTGTTACTTCACTTTTTATTGTCAATGAACTATTTGAGAATAGGATAAGGGACCCAAAACTGTCCCTTGTGGTACACCGTAAGTAATCAATCGGTTTTCGCGACAACAACATCAATTGTCACGTTTTGTTTGTCGATCTGAAAGGTAACTTTCCATTAATTCATATGCATTACCCATCTACCCCGTAAGCTTCGGGTTTGTCCAATAAATTATCATGGTAGGCAGTATCGAAGCTTTGAATAGATAGACGGAGATACAGATGGAAGTTTTTTATCTTATGCAGTGTATAGGAAGTCACAATTGCATCCTCTGTCGATATTCGTTCCCTGTTTACGTTTCTCAATATTTGTTTCTAAAACTTCGGTAATGTTTGATATGAGAGTGATTGGTCATTACTTGATAATTTCAAGTTCAGGGACACTTTTATAAATCAGTTTGATAATACCTATCTCCAATACATTCCGAAAATATCCCGTTGTGTGTTATCTATTTACAATAAAAGAAAGAGGTGAAGAGATTTCTTGATATATTTCTTTCAGTGTTACTGTTCTGATATCATGGAAACCTGGGGGTTTTTGGCTTTTTAATTTGGAAATTTGTGATATTACTTCTTGCTGGTTTGTTGAAAACATGAAAATAATATGGCTTATTGATTTACTCACCTTCTTGGAACCAAATGCGGATGCGTTCTCATAAGGCCCTCTAGTTCTCCTTGGTAAAACCTGGGATCTTCCTCATTATACTGTTGATACCTTTCGCAAGAAGGGGCTCTAGGTTCTTGCTCTGAATATTGTCTACGCAAAACACTACCCGACCTTTGCAACGGTAGATTTTCCTTTTCGGCGGCAGAGTGCGCTCGTTCTAGTTTCGGTCGTTTGTCCGAGGGCGCTTGCTGGATTTGTGGAAGGTCCGTTTCTGGGTTTGGCCCACCTAACATCCATTGACCCGTTTTACTCAAGAGCTCCTGCTTTTTTCGGCAAAGGATGCATATCCAAATTACCTGAAATATTATAGAAAGACAAATAGTAAAAAATCATGAAACTACCCATGATTTTGAAAAAACTTGTGTCACTATCAAAGATTTGGAAAATGCTTTGTTTCCCAAAATGGATTGCATTATAGGTACAACAGCCTGTGAGAAGCTATAACCGCATTTCGAAAATTGGCACAGATCGCGTACATCGAAGAGGAGAGATAAATGGGCTTGTTTCATGCTATGGAAAATGATGCTGGTTTGCTTATAGACTGATCGAGTTGTGGGTATATTATACTTATCAAGCCTAATCGGTCCCAAAATCTCTTTATATTTGCAGAAAAAAGAATAATTCGAAAAGCAAGAATTTAAATTGGCCGCGTGTCTGTTGACCACCAATAAAATTGATCGTGTCTAGAGCGGAGTTGCCAAGTGTATTGGTTTTTAATATCCAATCACAGATCTGATAATCTAATTTGACAGACGCCATTTTTGTTGTTATTGTTGTGAATACAACTGTTACAATTATCTAATTAAAGAACGTTTTTTTATCAAAGGTTGGTCTCGGCGGGTGCCTATTTTGCTACATATTCAGTGTCATTAGTTTACATTCCGAAAAATATTTTTACAGGTTATTTTTGGATTGATATGTTCTGGAGTAATTCTACATTTCACTGTTCATATTTTTGCTTCTCTTTCCAGTCACCATACTGTTCATTGGCCGAGATAAAATAAAAATTAAATCAACACTTTCCATCCTTCCATAAAAGACAAAGTCTGAAATGAATGTCATCGGACCTACTAACCTACGGACCTACTGTCATCAAGTAAAATTCATCGATCATTTCAAAATCGACTCTTGGTAATTTGTCGGGAGTCAGCTTCAACAAAACTAGGCTCAACATTCATTTTGAAATTATTTTAACAAAAATACGAAGTTTGTGGAAACCATTGACATTAGAAAGAGTACATTGTCGCATGCACTACAAAGGGCGCTGGCTGACTGGATGACAATATGGCTAATATACCAGTAACGTTGAAATTCTTATTTTTCATGGGTAGCATGAATGCATAATTGATTTATTTTATTAGGGTTCATGAGCATTCGAAAACTATTTGAAAATACAGCTCGTTAAATCAATTAATTAGATTTTATCATATAATTAATGGTATTGTTAACTCTGGAGAGAAGCTTTTGTTGGATAATTCGAGTAAAATCAATTATATCTATACTTGAGCGCAGTCAACCTTCCTCTCAAGTTTTGTAAGATTTAACAGATTACCCAAGCGAGCCTATAACGCTTGAATTTAGTAGCTATATTAGAAAGAGGTACGTATGTAGGAATCTTTTTTTTATAATAAATTGCAGTTGTACAGATTGAGGATTGTAGAATAAATTGAATATTTTAAATGATTCTTTAATCCAGTTTGCTATATTTTTTGATTTTGTATATTTTGTAATCTGTCGACTTTGTGTACTGATTTTAGATATAGAACTTATTTCCAAACATGATTTTTTGTTTTTTTTTCTATTTAAGCAAATTCGCATCAACCTAGTGGTTATTAGCGAGTAGTACATGTTTATAATTTTGTAATAATATCGATACATTCAAGAAATTTGATAATATTTGGAATATTACAGTTTCTGCCAATAGTGTTGTAGATATCTAGGGGAAAGTTAAAGTTGTTTCGCTGTACCCGGTATTTTGGACAATCGGTGAAAATGTGCTCAACACTCAGTTTTGTTTCACATATGTCACACATTGGCTCTTCGGTGTGATTTAACAGATAACTGTGCGTGAGTTTGGTNACCTTAATATTATTCATATATTATTTATAATTATTTATATAACATTATTTCATGTAAATATAATACTGAAATTATGTCATTGTACGCGCGCATGGTGCGCAATGAGAATAACTCGAGATAGGTTAGTTCCTCCCGGTCGAAAATTTGCCAGATGATTGTTAATACGATATCATTGATAATAAAAAATCAGCTGGCATTATGAAGGGGGTGAACCCGTCGGCTGACGTATTCAATTCGGCGATTAGCGCTCACGCCTGGCTCCTGCGCCGCACCTTTTACAACATCAGCTGACGACCTTTCCACCAACATAAAGCCAGCTGACGTTTTTATTCAATCGAACTAGCATGCTCTGCTATTCCTTATTTGCTGGTTTTTCCTCGCTGTGTGTTTCTAGTGCTCATCAATGCGAACTTTCAATATCCTTTTAGTTTCATCGATGTATCATTCTCCGCACTCGCAGGGTATTCGGTAAATGCAATTCTTGGAATTACACTCCGCTTTGGTGGCCTGGTTTTAATGAGGCTGCTACGGTTAGTGTTCCTAGATCTGAGACAGGTTCTGATGTTATATTTGAACCCAATTTTTCTTATCCTTTTCGACAATCCTCTGATGTAGGTAAGTATAAGTACTGGTTGTGGTGGCTTCCCTTCCTTGTGAGGCGCTCGCTGTCTTCTCGGCAGTCTGTTCCCCCATCGCTTTGGAGTAGCCATTCCGTTGAAGATCATTTTTAATGATATCTAGTTTCATCTCGAGACCTTCCTTCGTATTACAGAGCCAAAAACACGGTCTAGTAGAGTCTTGATGATTTCTCTCTTAGTCGATTGATGGTGGTTGGATTCCTGGTTCAGATACCGTCCCGTGTGAGTGGGTTTTCGGTATACAAATGTTTCCCATTTAGAGCCGGTCCTCTTCACCAATACATCTAAGAATGGCAATTCGTTGTGGACTTCCTTCTCCATTGTGAAAGTTATGGCCAGAGTTTCAAACCCATCCATATATATGTTGGCTATAACCGGTGACAGTGGCGATCCCATTGGCAGTCCCTCGTCTTGCGTGAAGAATTCGTCCTTCAGTTGGAAGTAGCAGTTTCATACACAGCATCCTATTAATTTCATGATTACTTGTATCGGTAATCGGTAAGTTCTATCTTTCAAGTCCCTCTCTTCGGATAGCTTCTTCTGTATGATTTGAAGTGCTTTTTCGACAGAAACGTTGGTGTAGAGGCTTTCCACGTCGAAACTGATCAGTTGATCTTACTCTTTGACTTCGATTGCCCCTAGTTGATCGACAAAATACCTTAAATTTTTCATAAAAAAATGTTTTTCCTTGCAGTAATTTAATTTTTGGTTGTGAAAATCTGGACAAGTTTTGAGTGGCTGAATTTCTGTAGCTAATGATCGGTGTGAGCGGAACATCCTTCTTGTGGTGGATTTTGGGTAGTCCATACAAGTGAGAAGGCTTACTGTGGTGCGGTGTTAGCGATGATCTCTTTCTTTCCGAAAAATAGATTTGGTGTTTTTTCAAAGCCTAGTACAACTTTCTTTGATTTGATGCAGTAGGGTCTCTTACGATCTTCATGTATTTTCTTTCCTTAAGCACCTCTTCGATCTTCTGTTCGTAGAGATCAGTATCCATCACAACAGTAGCGTTTTCCTTATCTACAGGTAAGATTTTGATGGTGTTATCTCTACATAGGCCGTTCAGAGCTTCTCGTTCTTCATTGCTAATTCTCGATCCAGCTGTTCTCTGATTTTCCATCTGAATTCTTCGACCTCGATCTGATCAATAAGGGAAGTGGTGGATTCCACTGCAGTTATTATTTCCAAAGTGGGCACAGATGATGGTGCAATGGCAAAATTTAGACCTTTCCTCAACAAGAATTACTCTATGCCCGTGAGCGGGCGGGAACTCATGTTGAGGACATTGGCGGCTTCATAGTTGTATTGTTCTCGGTCTGCATTTGGGCATTGTTTTCTCACCAACTTTCTCCACTTCCTGTTGTGGGTATTCTCCATTTCTTGTTATTAATTTTGAATTTTAATCTCCTATTATTATAATTGTTCTTTTTCGGCTGATCTTTTTAATTTTTTTAAAGATTTTTCCAGGGATTTCAAATGAATTTATATCATATTTGACAATGGAAGTCCGAACTAATGAAATGTATTAGAACGTATCCTACCCTACCTGAATTGAAAAATATGACAGTGGCAGTATTTTAAATGATTCGATGTTTGATACACTTTGAGTTTAAATTTTTATTCTGTTCATGAGAGCTTCACTGGGAATATTCATGTCTCCTTTCCTCTGCCAATGTCGCCAAATATAGATTTATTCCAGTTTTGCGATGAACGAATGTAAGTAGCCACCTATATGAATGATGCTGTAAATCCATCTAATAAAAAAGTAATTTCCATTCAAAATTTGCGTCATCGGACTATCATCCATTATTGAGCGAATATATTCATTGACTCCATTTGCGTCACTAGAGATATTCTATTTGAATGAAACACAACACCAATTAAGTGCTTGTGTATCGAGTGGCATAACGAACAAGGACTACCTACGTTTGTGATTATTCCACGTCAAGCCAATAATTTATTATGTGGTGCTTCCTACAAGTAATGCATATTATCTAGTAAATAACAGGCTAATATATTCCAAAAAAATATTTTTTCTACACCCGTACTCTAACAATACACTTATATGACCATAATCCGTTTCATAATGATATCCATTATGATACAGATTTTTCATAACGATACAGATTATCAACCAATAGAAACCCATAATTTTTCAATCAAGAATCCTGTTCCTTTGTTTGTCATAGATTCTAACCTAAGTAACTAATTGCTTTATTTGTCAAAATCAGTTTTCATATTACCTACCTATATTATCAAAATGTCTGAAAACAGCGATATAGAAGGAATACCATCAACTCCAATATTTTTCAAAGATGAGATTAATTACAGTCGTTATATTCAATTTAAATATAATTAGAATCTTTATAGTTTTCATATATCCATGATAATACCATTAAGTTTGTGTTTTTTTTTTAAAATATCAGTTAATTACTGTAAATGTGTTTAATACAAATATAATATTTATAGTTTTTCATTATTTATCGGGTTTAGAAAAAATAGCGTATGCAACTCTCGTGTAATGGTTATTAATACACTCGCATATACCATACAAAACTCGCCTTCGGCTCGTTTCGTAT